TATAGAAAAATTATGGTGGACAGAATAAATTTTCTGTTAATACATTTGTTTTTTATATGTATTATTAATAAAGAAATATTTAAAAGCATAATATATTTTATCATATATAAGAAAAATTTATTTTTAATTTTAAAAAATTAAATATATTATTATAACCTATTTCTGAATATGTCCATAAACATTAAAAACTAAATATATTTAAGAAATATATAAAAATAATATGTCATACCTGATAATCTTGTGATAAAATCAAATAACTTAAGAATGGTGATGTTATTATACGACCCATACAAAGCAAATTGGGTATTGTCCAAATATTCTCCTTCTCTATAATTTCTTCTACTTTTTTTCTTGTACGTTTAAAATTTTGCATTAAACATATTCGTAATGCTTTTCTTTGTGCAGTTCGTCCTTTTGCATTAATATAATGTTTATAACGATTTTCACTTTCTACAACATAGAATCTGGCTTGACGCACAGGATACTGTCTTATATAGCACTTTATTAAACTTTTGTTGAAAATTGTAGAACAGTGTTTAAACCGTAGAATAGTGAAATAGTTCATCATTTAATCCTATATCAACATATTAAAATTTTTTTTTAATTACATATAACTTAGTAAATATAAAATGTTTAATCATAAAGGTAAATATGAATAATGGAATATTGCTTGTTGAATTTTATAAATGCATTATATAATATTTTATCACATAATTATATAAAATATTAATTTTTTAACTTGATTATTAAACATACAAATCTTTGAGAAAATTGACTAACCTTACTGTTGCTTGAAAGTACTTTCACTTCATTTATTTTAATTTTAGCTAACATAATTAGACACAATACAGAATTTTGTATTCATTTGTAGTAAAATAACATTAACTAAAATAACATTAACTTAATCAAGAAATTTCTTGACAAAAAGAGCGATTTCAACTCGCACGTTGTATTTTTTTTAGTAAGTGAGACATCCCCGGTTCTTGAAGGTTTACTCCAAATGAAACATCTTTGACACTTTTGCAGGTTATGGTGGTTTCGAAACACTTTTCGGTTTAGTTACATGGCAGCTAACATCTAGAAAAAAAATAAGCTATCACCGTTCAGAATATACCTATATGATCAATCCCGAGTTTTTGTCTCATTAGTTTCTCTATATGGATCTAAATCTATAAACCAATCATATTAAAGGATTTTATACAGTTGCAAAGCTGCTTTTTCTGCCGAATGCAGCCTATGTTATTTTATGTGCGATAGTCTTAAGTTGGATGCATAATGAAAAACACAGGCAACAAGAACAGGGAATAGGAAACAGATTTCGACTAAGTTCCGGTCTATAATAGGTAATTTAAGCCTTAAGCCATAAGAAATGGACGAATCATAGGAGAATAATCGATTATAATTGGTCAATTTCTTATGGCTTAAGGCTTAAATCATCTACTGTAGACCGGGATTAATCAGAAATATCTATGATATTCTTCGCAGCTTCTGATTGATCGAAATCTGTTGCCTGTTGCTATTCTCTGTTTCTGTTTCTTGTTCCTTTGTGTCTCAGGCTTTACTGTTTACGTTCTTCTGTTACGTATATATACATCAATGTACATAAGCATGTGACTGTTGTTTTATGTGTAGAATCCTCTGTAAATTTAAATCTTATTACAGAATTTCAGTATTTTATTCAGTATTAGTTTGTTATTTCTGTTAACTTTTATATTAGTGCCATAAATTATGGGCGATAAATTAAATATTCATAAAAAAAGACGGAAGATAAAACAAACCACTAAAAAATATGAACGTAAGTATTGAAATTTTTTGCACTTTATTCTTTATGTTATTTTATCATCTCTTCTTTATTCCGTACATAAAAATTTGAAATACAAAGAAGAATTAAAGAATTAATGAAATTATATAATTTAAAAAATAAGTTATATGTTATGTCTATATAATAAATTTGAGTAATGAGATATCTAAACTAAAAAAATATACAACATTATGTATTCTTGCAAAATATAAATATAATGTATTTTAGAACAAAATGAAACAAATAATCCTGACAATTTGGATATTGGCAGGAATATAGATATTCCATATTATGGATGGAGATTGTTTTTCTCTGACAAAGGTAAAATCATCTATATCGTTGAGAAAAAAGGAGGAATAAACTCTTGAAAGAAAAAGAAAGAACTAAGAAAAAATTAGAAGAAGATTATCACTCTTACATACATTCTATATATTAATAAATTATTTTTACAGAATATAAAACTGATAATATTATTGTAAAGCAAATTAAAGCTATAGAAAATTTTATAGACAGACATCAAGCGTTATCTTTGTTATTTACAATGACAAATTTAGAAGCAGGAATGTCTTTTGATATTGATATCTGTGAATTATATAATGATAATGAATTTATGAAGCAATGGCCAAATTTTAAAGAAGAAATATATAAAAATCCAACAACTACATTAAATTGTATAAAATTAAGTATTCACCAGGTATTATCTGTATTATTACATATATATTACACAACATACATACAGAATGTTCCAAAAAGATTAAGAATATTTTGATATTGATATTTTGCTATTGTATTAAAAGTCTATAATTTTTGTATAAATATAATTTTTAGTACTATTTTAAAATATATCTTCTGGAAACTGACTTCTTTTTTTTATTTTAAATGTGATTTTCTATTAAACAATTTGAATAATAAAATTGAAAATAGTAGAACATATTATTATATAAATAAGTATTAAGGTTTTTAATAGCTATAAACTTGTTAAAAGATTCCAGTTTAAAAGTAAAATTGATTTTAATTACTTTCTGTTTTTGTATAATTTTTTTTTGTCAAATTTTGTATATTATGGTTTTAGAAAATTTTAGAAACAGTACCGAAGGAAAATTTGCAGTATGTTCTAAATTCTATTAGTAATTTACCAACAATCAAATTAGGTATATTAAATTATCAACCAATTACATCTTTACGAGATCTTAAGTTAAACTGTTATGGTAAGTACGATTATACATAAATGTATCTCTCCTATCCTGAATAGGATAGTCAATCCCATAATATATATATGTTAATAATATGCCATATAGCAAATTCATAATTTTGCAACAGATTTTGATCTATTGTGTTCTCATCAAGCTTAGTTTCTGCTGGTATGACTTGCCAATACAGTGTTATGGCAAAAATGTAGCAGAAATTAAATGGCTTATTATTATAATATGATAATAGAAATGTAACAGATATCAAGCAAAATTTACAATATTAATTACAAATAAATCAATTAATAATATACATATATCAATTAATAACGGCAATGCAATAGAAAAAGCATGCTTACAGTCATGGCATGCGCAAATGTGTAGCAGATATTGTGTAAAGTCTATCAATCAATGATGGCAGGAATGCAAAAGATTGTTATTTTGTAATTTAAGGAGATACGATCGAAAAATTAAAATTTTTAATTTGTTTAAAAATTATATAGAATATTACTTAAAATGAAATTAATATCACATTAAAATTGCAAACTATGTAATTTTTAAGACAAAATTAAAATTAGAATTTGATGCATAGTGTCTTATGGTAGATGCATTGAATGACCGATATATTACATTACATTTATGTTAAATTTTATATTAAATTTAATGTTAGATACAATTCGTAATATGTTTCGTTCTACATAAAAATTATATAAATATAGAATAATCTTCTTTTATATCTTTGCAAAAAGTTAATTTTATGCACTATGTAATTTTTTGTATACAAGTAAAAACCGATACAAATATACCTATTTTGTGCGGTTAACTATTCCCACTATTTAACAGCATGCAAATTGATCAAAAAATGCCAATCTCATTATTAGGAAATAAATCGCTAATCATTGAAAATGAAACTTTGAATTATTTATATAACATAGTATATACTATAATATATAACATGCATATATGCATAACAAGAAAAGTACACATTATTTTAATAATACATAAGCAAAAAAAAATACATTTATTAATAGCGCATATTTTAATAATACACATAGCAAAAGATCCATTATCCATTCCGAAAAACTCTAATTTAATCCAAATCTGGAGAATTATAAATTCATGTAAAATCATACAATGATAAATCTCTTTTCGCAGTATAAGTAAGGCATGATTATTGCTCCAACTGAAAAATTCATAGAACTGTATATTGACAGACTTAATTTTGCACTAATTTGAAACTAAAATTAGATTCGGAGAACATGAAAATGTGATTTGTGCTACGTGTCGAAAATACATGCTAAATTAATATGCTATATAATGCTATATAATGCATCTTTTGCTTTTACATGCTATTGGGACATGGGGATTAAGATAGTTTACCTTTTGGCTTACATGCTATCGGGATATTGGTTATTATGTCATGTGCTAAGGAAATTGTTTTTATAGATATTATCTTTTAAATAGAAAATAACTAATTTTATTTTCTTTTTTACAATATTGGATAATAATTATTACTTTATTATTTTGGAAATTGTTGCAGAAAAATTAATATCCACTAGAGGTTGTGTAATAAGAGTTGGCAGAGTAAAATATCTCGCCCAATGGATAATGTTTGCCTGTTCAAAATGCCATTTGCAACAATTAGTCAAACAGTGTCAAGAAAAATATACATTGCCAAAGAAATGTAATGTCTGTGGCATATCAAAATTTTATCCAATTTTAGAATCATCTTGTACTAAAACAGTTTTATATCAAATAATTAGAATACAAGAACCTTTAAATGATGAACAGGTAATTTTTATTTCCTATATGATATAATCAAATAATATATAAAATTAATGATTTTTCGTCAAAATAGTAGAAAGCATACAGTAATGATGTATATATGCTGTGATATTTATAAATTATCTAAGCATAGATAAATATATTTTATAAAATTTTATGTTTTAACAGTTAAAACAGTTAAAGTTTTTTTTAGTGAGACAAATCATTTATTTTAAATTATTATAAAATAAATAAAATGTATAATGTACTTTTTGACATAATCTATTTATAAAATTATACATAATTAACATTAATAAGTGAGGCGAGCGTGGTATAGTAGACAGCACATTGGTCTACTATGCTAGAGATCCCGGATTCGATTCCCGGCAGAGCCAAAAATATTTATGCTTGTCTTCTCTCGGAAGGCAATGTCAAACCACCAAGAGTAACTTTGCTATGAGCATCTCTCTACCAAAAAAATTTGCCGTTTGGAACCGGCATTAAATTGTAGATCCCATATACCTGTGTATAATCATCGTGCGCACTACAAGTATATGAGAGAGATCACCATGCTCAGACACAAGCAATAGGACTAGGAAAAAGAACATTAATGTACAAGAAATTTTATCTTACAGGAAAATAAAGGTAGAATACCCAAAGTACTTGATGTGGAACTTTTAGATGATTTAGTTAATGTTTGCATGCCTGGCGATGATGTAACACTTACAGGCATCATCAAGGTATTTCTTAAGAAAGAAAACATTTTAGGAATATTTATTAGAGATATTTTTAATGTTATATTAAAAAAATTATCTTTAATCAATATCTTAATTTATATGTTAGTCTATATAATCATTATTAAATTTGTATATTATTACTATTAAAAAAATATTATCTTAGTATTTAAATATATTAAAGCTCGGTTCTCTCGCTGCAGCCATATTAAATTATGACGTCAGAGGCAAGAAATGACATTTAAAAAATTTCTCCGTCGTATAGCTTTATTTTGTACTTTAAAAATATGATATTTTTATATTTTTAAAACTTGTAAAAAATATCAGAAAGTAAGGTAGCTCCAATAAATTACGTAAAAGTGTAAAATAATTCTTGAAATAATGGTACACTGTTTAGCTCAGAAATCAGAAATCACCAAATTACTAGATTTAGTTGTTTCTGATAGCTGAACAGTGACCATTATTTCGAGAATTATTTTACACTTTTATGTGATTCATTGGACAGATATCTCTTTCTAGTATTTTTTACAAGTTTTAAGAATATGAGAATGTCATGTTTTTAAGAAAAAAGTACAAAATGAAGCTATGCGATGTAAGAAACTTTTATATATCATTTCTCGTCTCTGACATCATACAATCCATGTTGCGCCGCGAGAGAACAGAATTTTAAAAATAAAAACTAAAAATAAAAAAAATTTAAATAAAATAAAACCCCTAAACAACACACACACAACACACACACACAACACAAC